GTATTAACAGCAGGACAGACGAGCATCTGTTATCTAAACTGAGTCTGTGACAGGTGATGTGAAGATAATCTTGTATGACAGATATAAAGAGGTTCAGACGTAAACGACACACTAACGTGCTCCTGGAGTCAGTATTTTTGTGTCCCTCATTGTTCTCCATAAAGTTTGCTGGAAGTGATGTTAATTTGGGAGTGAGCGCTGCTCCAGACTCAGGTTAAAAAATAACCTTTTGAATGCTACGTTGCTTGTCAGACAAAGCGGTCATACGGTAACTTCGGAGGCAATTTGCCCTCATGTGCTCTGATTAATTCAGCATGCCGTTAACACACCAGTGATAATGTTGTTTTAATGAAAACTAAACTCCTGGCATTTTCTCCTGGAGTTCTTCACCACTGCTCTGGAGGAAGGAAATAACAAAGGTAACAGTTGAACCTTTAAGATGTACAAGTGATATATTTTCTTATTAAGATCATCTGAGAACAGAATTTGGTTTGGCGTCAGGTGGAAGAATGACCGCCAAACTATTCACCAAGGGGAACTAAAGGGGAAACACTGTTTTGGTGCATCTACTGGCCGTCCTCACCAAACTCAACTTGAATTTTGTTCAGTTTTAACCCACAAACTCACACTGTAAACCAGTAGGAACACCGGAAATGCATACGTCATTATTCTAGCCATCACAGCGGTTTGAACTAGAAGCCAAGCAGCAGCACTGCTCTTAGTCAAAATACATGAAACAGTATTAATTTTAAACGTTTGTATGATGACACTGCATCCAAAATAGCCATTTTTACTCAGAGATCATGCTATAGGGCCGCTATGAAGTTCTTTCTTCACACCGCCTCTGTATTTTTACACAAAACCAAACAACTGTGGCAGCATGCCTGACATGTCACACAACACCGACAGGCTCCGAAGTGACACATAACATACATGTCAGCAGCTCTTTATAAACAATAACAATGGTATTAACATGGCAATAACAAACATTTCTCATCTCTGTTATATGGCAGTTGATCTCGTCCTCTGCTCAGAGTGTAAGAAGCTCCCGGACCTCATTGTTTTCCCAATTTGAGAACATTTTCAGCCACTGTTCTTCTTTGAGTTAGCCGCTAACTGCTACCACCTGCTTCTTAAATGGGTCACACACCTAACACGTCCGCCAATGATCCCGTTCTACTGGCTGTCCCTTTGATACAGAGGTCGTTGTTACTACCTCTGATGATGCCTTTAAGGGCGAGACAACTCAGTTTCCATATTCCACGATTGTACCTTTAATGCAGAACAGCAAGGCGGCATAACGATGTGAAATTCCCACCTTGAAGAGGCAGTGTAAACGGGGCTACTGTGACTCCTACATGGCTGAAGACTTCATGCATGTGTTTTCCGTTTTGGTGCATCTACAGGCCACCCTCACCAAACTCTAGTTGAATTTTGTTTCATTTTAACCCACATATTCACACCGTAAACCAGCAGGAACACTGCAAATGCAGATGTCGTTATTTTAGTCACACTGGTTTGGACAAGACAAGACAAGACAAAACAAGCTGCAGCATCGCTCTCAAACAAAATCCTTGATACAGTATTCATTTAAACCTCTAAATGATGACATTGCATCCTTTTCTTAAATCACACAAGGTAAGAAGCTCCCAGACCTTCTTGTTTTCCCAATTTGCTGACATTTTATGGCCGCTGTTCTTCTTTGAGTTAGCTGCTAACTGCTATCAAGTGCTTTTTAAATGTCCTGCCAGTGGGTCACATATATAACACATCATCAAAACATCCTGCTGGCTGTCTCTTTTATACAGAGGCTGTTGTTACTACCTCTGATGGTGCCTTTAAGGGCAAGACAACTCCATCTCCACATTCCAAGATTGTTCCTTTAATACAGAACGGCATAACAGCAGAAAATTCCCGTCTTGAAAAGGCAGTGTAAACCCGCAAATTCACACTGTAAACCAGTAGGAACACTGGATTTGCAGACGTCATTATTTTAGTCATCACTCTGGTTTGGACAAGACTACAAACTGCTGCATCACTCTCAAATAAAAAGCTTAAAATAGTATTAATTGCTTTTAATCACACACAACATTAGTGCATAGTGTGTACTTTACAGCATCAGTAAGCAGTATGGAAATGGGACGCACAGCGTTAGTCATGACCTTTCAGACGCAGCACAGTCCTGGATATCCAACCATCCAGAAACACACCATCTCTCATTGGAACAAAGCTGGTAATAATATCAAAAACAATTACTTTAAATCATAAGTAGATTCTTAACCCGCCTTTCCCTGCATGTCATCCAATGCCAGGAGCTGTCACAGGTAACTTGAACCAATCAGACGCCTCGCCTGCAAGCTCCAGTTACAACTCCTCTCCTTTATTACTCCTCCAATCACTCCCTCTGCTCTGAACCTCACCATAAAAGAGCACTGCTTTCTCTTTGCTTTACATGCACACACACGTATATAATAAAAATAAACTCCCTGTATAGATGTACCCATGTGAAACTTTAAAAAAAAAGAGGCCTTAATGAAGTGTTAACACTGTGAATGTGTAAGAAGCAGGAGTATCCATGGTTACAGCCTTTCAAAGGACTTTACTACTGGCATTGGAAATCTTTCAAGTCAAGTAGCTGCGGCCTTTGTTTCAAGATAAATGTCCGACTTCTCAATACCAGAAACGTTTTTTTACTCCAGAAATAGAATAAATGTAAGAATTAAATGCTCAGCTCAAGTGTATTCAGGACATAAATCCACTTTAGAGTTTTTCCTCCAGAAGCTGCGAAACACTCTGATCGATGACGATCTGCTTTAAGAAATAAATAAAGACCCCTGCAAAACGATAACTGGAGCAGAACTGTCTGAAAGCGAACCAAAACAACTTGTCTCCACCTGACAAGTCAGTAAAAACTGGTGTCATGATGCAACAGAGAGCAAGTGGGGCAGAGTGAGAAAAGAATCAATGAATCCATTCTTCTTCAAGGGCCAAAAACACAGCTCTCAAGGATAAAGGTAGTCGATTCAGATGTTATAGTGGAGAGAGAGACCTTGATGCTGAATGCGAATGTGCAAGCAGGAGAGTAAAAAAGCTGCAGTCAAATTCATGAATGCATCCCCGTCTATTCTGCAGTTATTTCTTATTTTTCCTAATCATTCCTGATTTGCATTTACATCCGTCAACTCCAGAGTGCCGCCTGTTCCTCCTCCTCCGATAAACACTGGCTGTTTTCTGGAGCAAAACAGGGTGTTATTAAAACGTGTTCTTATTCACAACATGGATGCTGGAGACAGACTGCGCTCCATATTCAAAGCTCAACTCCAAATTAAATCCTTCCGCTGGTTAGCAGGCAGCTTTTACTTACAGTTTCCCTCCCTGTCACAGGAAATAAAACTTCCATCCGCAGGCCTCAAACTGTGACCATGAAATGACCTCCAGGCTCCATCCCGACCACGAGACATTTTCTCACTCGTGCTAGTAAACACTCGCGCAGTTATCTAATTATTCCTGATAAATACTCGCTCTCTTAGCGGCTTAAAGTTCACGGCGAGTTTATTTCGGGGCATAACAAATGTTGACACAGCCTCAGAGTGGGCTTCGTTTGAGCCAAGATCATCATTAAATCTCTCCTGTGTGGCTGTAGGACTAATTTGGAGGAAAGCAGCAGTTCATATGTGTGCGGGAGAAAAAAGTAAAGGTCACATTTTGCAGCTTAAAAAAGAGGAATAAATCAGTGTAGTGTGTAGTGATTAAAAACATCGCCCGTGCAGTGCTGACTGGGCTTTCTGTCTCTCTTTTTGCCTGCCACCCCTCCCCCCCACCTCCAAACCAAAAACAGCATCAAAGCAATCAAAATGGTAATGTTAGGCATGAATGGGGCCCATCCCCCCTCCTCCTCCTCCTCCTCTTCCTCCTCCTCTTCCACCACCACCACCTCCTCCTCCTCCTCCTGCACGAAACTCTGCAGACTTTTTTCCTCTCCATGTTAGAGGGGGGAAGTAACCACCCCCCTTTCCTCTCTCAAAATGGAAGCTTCCACTACCAAACTGACAGAAGAAGAGGAAAGAACACACTACAACACAAACAAGGATGTAGATTCAGGATTCAACACCAGCTTTATGGCTAAAGGCTGCATGCTGTGGGTTGCTATGTTGCTTTTCTTAACATGCAGGGAGTTTAATGACTGCAACAAATCAGGTGTTGGGAAAATTCCTCAGGAAGTGGGATTGATTCATCAAGCAGATGGGGCCTAGATGTGACAGAAAAAAACTGGGATATATATATATAAAGAAAGCATGCTTTGCTTGTCTTCTTGCTAATGTGGGGAAGTTGTGTGCGCTGCTGTCGGGGCTGGGACCGACCGGCGGGGCGGTGCAAGCAGCAGCCGGGAGAGGAGAGGAGCTGGCCGCGGTGCTGAACACACTGCTCTCCTCTCAGCATCATCCAGACCTGCTGCTGTGCCTCCCATCACAGCTTTAAAGTTCATATAGGACATGGTTTGGTAGCTATAAAAGATAGTAAGGTGGAAAAAAGTGAAAGCGTGATCGTGAGCGAATCAAATGCACCGCTTTTGGTCATGTGACCCGAGAAGAAATAATACCAGCAGACTAAGTATAAAGTAACAAAACCAGGGTGTAAAAAGCGTCAAAAAGAAGCTTCCCAAATATATTAACGGCTCGTTTAAGCGACAAAACTTCCACAATAATGCTCCTTAAAAAAGTGAGAGCCGGATAGTTGAGCCAGCTGCTCCTTTATTAGCCTCTTACTCTCCAGAAACATGTCGACCTACTCAAAATGGACGCTAATTTTTTTTTTTTTTCTACACAACTTTGAGTGCCGAGACAAGACACAGTGCAACACAATAAAACACAGCCTCACTTTTACAATCCACCATGTTTGTTGTGGCTAGTTGTGCCCGAGCAGAGCAGCAGCTGCCACACTCCAACATTAAAATGGTGACAAAACAAAACCCTGAAAAGACGAAACATATCGGGGCTTACTTGTTTATCGCTCAGGGCTGTTATTCTCCTGTCGTGCAGCTGTCTCTTAAGCTCTCCATCCTACACACATTCAACACAAAACACCACGTTAATTTCCACACGAATTGAACTTCACACTCACATATATTTGAAGCTAAAGCAGTAAAACGGGGCAGGCTAACTCGTTAGCTAACCGAGCACAAGAAGAGATTTATGCTGATAAAGTTTCTCGCACACTCCCCATATTCGCCTCGTATGGCTGAGAGGGAGCTCCCGGGGAATATATATATTTATATACACATATATAACGGTTTACCTGTGGGTCCTGCTTCATCTGTGCAACTAGTTTAGTACAAACGACGGAGCAGCGAAATGGGGGATTTACAAAAAAAAAGTGTCTCAAGTTTAAAGGGAGGAACAAAGCGGTGATGATAGCCACAGCAGCGACTCCTCATAAATATTCAGGTCGCGTCCTGATCGCCACCACCGCATTATCACTCCAAATTCTTGTTGCTCGGCCGAAAACACCGATGACAATTAGCTCAAAAGTACTGTGGAAAAAGTGCACTTAATCAGACTTGGAAGTGGACGTTGTGTCGACATTACAAGCGACATGTCGCATAGTTATCCCCTCGGAGTGTTAACCTCTCATCCCTTCAGATTTTCCTCCCCTCCTGCTCTCACTTGCTCATAACACCAATAAGGGTAAGAATAACACGATGTTTCATTTACCTGATGACATTGGATTTCTACTTTCAACGCCTCTTGCAGGCCTTGTAGTTCCATGTTCCGACCAGAAAAGCACTTTTCTCCCACTTTCGACGCGGCCGACACGAAGTTTAAGTGAATTAAAGATTTTTTTAAAGCGACAATAACAATTGAAAGAAGAACTACTCAGGCTGCAAAGAGCAAGTTCTCGCTTCTTTTTACAGGCTAGGACTCATCACCCACTTTCCGCCCGTCTTCAAAAGTGCTCCAAACCCGGCGGAAAGAGCTCAGGCCCCGGATGGGTCCTCTCCAGATTAACGGCCGAGCGTCGAGGGGTCCGACGGGGAAGCGGGTTAGCTTTTCTTTCGATAATTTTAAGTTGAAAAACGGGGACTATATTTTGTCCGAGTCCGCGGCTTGATTTCACTTTGCCTGGGGAAAAGTTGCGCTTCGGCTGTCAATGGTGATTCTGAAGTTCCCGGATGGAGCAGAGAGACATGCGCAGTGAGCCGGGGGGGAGCTACAACTACTTCAAGGAGTATTTATAATAATAAATAAATAATGCATTTATTTATCCAGCACTTATTTTTAAACGGATGTCACAGAGTGCTTCACAAGATAATAACAGATAAATGAAGCAAAAGTTAAAACAATAAAACAACTAATACAACAGAACATCACAAAACAATATATTTCTGATTTAAAAAACACGTTTTGACACCTGTACTGACCCTTAAATACAAAACTACACATAAATAATGTTGCTATAGATCTATAAAATAAATTAAAGCATTAATAACAACTTAATTATTCTTTTATAGTAAAAGGAGCCCCCCCAAAAAATCAAAATAATCTATAATACTGGATTTTAGCCTAATTATTGATGCATTAATGTTTTCATCACTTTAATGTTGCAGCTGGCAAAGCTAGAAGTCACTTTAATTACTTTATATGCTGCTGGGAAAATTAAATTATAATAAGACACAGCAATTTCCTAGTTTAGTTCTATTTTTTTATTCATAGTCTGAACCTTTTAAGTAACTAAAGCCTACAAATAATTATAAGATAAGATAAGATACACCTTTATTGATCCCATAATTGAGAAATTCCAGTGTTACAGCAGTCAAGGGGAAAGAGTCAGATTAAAGATTTCAAAATTTAAACTTTAAAACTTAAAAAACTAGGCATGCAAAATAACTACAAAAATACAAGAAACGGCAATAAATAACAATAACAATAA